TGTCTATATCCTAGTTGTAGGATGTTCTGTTAAATGCATACTCTTCTACTCACAAAGGCTTATTGTGAAAGGATTATTAAAACCTGGAGAGCAATTCAGCACTGGGTAACTCAAGACAGTGGGGGTGGGGGACAAAAAGAAAAAGTTCATCACACACATGTTCCAAGTAAAGTATATGACAGAGAAGGGAAAGATTAAAAGTTTGGACAAATAAGAACAGAGCATTCCAGAACAAAAGCACACGCCCTCAGTAGGCTCTGTATCACTATAACCAATACTAAATATGTCTCTTTCTTCTAAGGGGGTTCCTACACATCTTCGTATGTGTAATACATTTCCTACATGTAACACATTTCCTTAAACCTCATAATTCTGTGGATTTTCTGTATGTTGCAGAAAGCTGCGGAATCTTTTCCAGGAAGAGGTACATACTCGTCTTTCAGGTATTCCATTTTAATTGTAGAAATAGTGAAGATGCAGTATTGCAAAGAGAGAAAAAAGTACACGTGATCCCATTACACTCAAACAACCATGAGTACAGGTTAATAACTCTCCTTCTAGATATTTATGTCCATGTGTGCTTCTATATTCATAATACAAAAGTATCCGTGTATTTGTGGTTTATGTGATCATACTATATGCTGCTTTTATCTTGACTCTGTAAGTTAAGAATTTATCAACTGAGAAAATAGCTTCAATCTCGAATTTCTGTATTATTCTACAGGAATAGATTATTTCTTCTTTTCTTTTGGTTCTTTTCACTTTTTAAAAATTGCCCACTCATGAGGTATTTGAGTTTGCCTCTGCCTCCTCAGGAAAATAAATTATTTCTATCTTTTTGTCTTGCATGGCTTTTTGCATACTGTCTCTGGACGTTTTTATCTTCTTGAGAGATATTACTCAAATCAGGTGAGAAGACCAGTTGACATTTTCACATAATTGGTGAGTTCCTGAGTCAAGAAGAAAAATATAACACATCCCCTGCAGGGCGCTGAAGCATTTCCCTTGGTGTTCATACCTCCAGGGTTTCCAGATGGACTTTCCACCTTCTTGTGAATCAGCAGCAAACCTTACCTAATCCCTGCTGCAGGGAGTGGCTGGGTTCTGACACCTCAAACCCTTTTGAGTCTCTTGCTATATGAACACTCGGAAAACTGCTGCTTTGCCTTTTTTGTCCACTCCTCTTGCTAGTCTCTGTACATAGGAGTGAGCTAATTTCTCTATAGGGAAGAAAGTAAGTGGGTTAAGAAACAGCGGTTTATATTACAGCAGGCTGAGATTTTTGAGATGGAATGGACAGAACAGAATGAGTACTCTTGCCAGTGTCAGATCTAAGCTGAAATCCCAATGCTTCTACTCAAGAGTTGTGTATCTATTGATAAATTACTTAATTAACTGAGCTTCCACATTTTTTTGAGACGGAGTCTCGCTCTGTCGCCCAGGCTGGAGTGCGGTGGCCGGATCTCGGCTCACTGCAAGCTCCGCCTCCCAGGTTCACGCCGTTCTCCTGCCTCAGCCTCCCGAGTAGCTGGGACTACAGGCGCCCACCACCTCGCCCGGCTAGTTTTTTGTATTTTTTAGTAGAGACGGGGTTTCACCACGTTAGCTAGGATGGTCTTTATCTCCTGACCTCGTGATCCACCCGTCTCGGCCTCCCAAAGTGCTGGGATTACAGCTTGAGCCACCGCGCCCGGCCCCACGTTCTTATCTACAAAATAGGAGTAATCTATATCCTAGAGTTGTATAATTCTGTTGACCTCATGAACACTAACTCGCATACAGTAGTAGCTAATACAAACTATGTTAACATATACTGAACACATAGAAATTCACCGCTGAATATTTTCAAAATAATCTTACCTATTACTCACTTTAGTAACATATAAAGTTAACATATCCATGGCAGGTTAACATATCCATGGCAGGTTCTCTTACATAAGTAATTTTAAAAATAATAAAAACCACTAAAACTGTGTCTTATTATATTTAAAATTAGCCCCTTGGTAATGAATGACTAAAGCAACGTTATGGAATAAACTAGAAAGTTTCCTTTTATAAAAGCAATAATTATTTAATCTCTCCTCTGTGCCTCCACCCTCATTCTTAAAAAACACAAATATACTGAACTAAAATGTACTAGAATAAACAGACTCTCACCAAATTTTAGCTACAGAATAAGACTTTAAAATATTGGCTACATCTATTTCCAAAAAGAACATTGAATATTTGGATTTTTCTTTCCTTCATTTTTTTTCAAAACTGAAGCAACTTAAAGTTAGACATAACCTATCTCTTTTTCTCTTAGCCACATGTAAACATTTTTACTCTAACATAGTCAGGTCCAACAAGTTATTTTTTTTTTCTGCTTGGTAACCTTTCTTTAGAAGAGTGGGTATATTGTTTCATAACCACTGCACTTAATGATAGCTAGCATTTGAAAATAACTTAAATTTATTTTGCATGGCATATTTTATCATCCATATTAATTCACACTTGTATATAGGAAAGATTATTATGGTTATTATTCATAGTATCATTGTCATCACCATCATTCCCATCTTATATCTTAAATGGACTAAAACTCTAATCAACTCAAAAACTGACTTGGGATCACACAGAGATTGAGCCTCAAAATGTGTGCCTGTTGGCACCAGCGGTCATGCTTTTGTTATGCAGCTAAATACCCCCATATAGGAGGCTGAAATAAAAATATTAATCTTCTCTGTTTACATTTTAGATTTGGAAAATTCACTATAGATTGATAGATGATAAATACAGATATGAATATATATATATGTGTGTGTGTATAATGTACTTGTATTATTGTTTAAAATAACTGTTGTGTTTTTTTTAACGACATGGATCTATGCACCATGAGGGCTTACCTATTATCTTCATTCACTTGCATTTCTTTTTAGAACTGAGGGCTGACTTATTATCTTCATTCACTTGCATTTCTTTTTAGAACCTACTGTTTTTTAAATAACTCAAGTAAAGTCAACAGGGATTATTCTTTGCTTTAGCTAACAGTGTTTAAGGACTACTATGTCCTGAATTCTGTGCAAATTAAGAATTTAAAGATAAATAAGACAATATTCCTGACTCTCAGTACTCAAAGTCATGTGAACCACTGTAATTCTGGTGATTTTCTTGTGTAATGCAATATATGTATATATTAAGCCATGAGAGTAAATTATGCCTGTGGGAGTCATAAAGTTTCATTGTAAATGTGGTATTATAACTAAGTCTGAATAAGTAAGTACCCCCTGTGGAACAGATCCATTGTTTCAGCAGATTTGTATAAGGGTTCAGAAATCAAAGACATTTTAAGAAGTGCTGATATTCTGATAAAGAGAAGGACTGAAAGAGCTAAGACTAATTGGATAGATCCAGGCCAGAGAGCTACTGGCTTATAACTCCAATGACAAAGTTTAGACTTTATCTTGTATGAAGTTAGGGGCAATCAATGTTTCTCCAAAAATATTTTATGATAAAGGTTGTGTTTTACAACTCACTTCTGTTAGTAACATGTAAGAAAAAATTTATACTTTAACTATGTATATATCTTGGAACATACTAATTTAGTTATCCCTTTTCACCCAAAATATGTCCAGAGATGAGATTCTATATTATGGCATTGCAGAATCACAAATAGATGCTTATCAGAATATGATGTGTGACTTGTCACATTAAATTGAAATCACTGATTACATTCTATTTCTCTGATGTACAAAACTGAAAATAATAAGTACAGCAATACAGGATAGGTTGAATAACTTCACAAGAAAGCCTTCTTGGCTTCATTTAATCCCAGTAGGATATCTCTGCTCTGTGTGCTATTAACAACAGACTAATTCTTGCTTCCATAAGTTTGATTAGCCATTATTAGTTCCATCTAAAATGTCTTCAACACACATATATTTATTGTGTCATATATAAAAGTAAATGCAATTAATATTTTTCATCAAAATTAAGAATATATAAAATGTGAAATATTTCCAGGGAAATAAACAAATATTTATTTGGTATTTCCTTTGTGTAAGACAAATTAAGTATATTATCTTATTTAAAGGAAAACACAGAGGCAATGGATAGGTTCTTTTGAATACAAATTTCCATAAAAAATTTAAAGTTTTGCATTAAGATAAAATATAATTCTTATACTCCCCCACCCTCTCAGAAAAATGTTATAATCTCATTCAGAGAATAAAATATAAAACCATATCTTTCTAATTTCTACTCAATGGTTAAATCAAGAGGAGGTTATTAAATAAAGAGGAGTAGAATAATATTAGAATCTACCTCTGAGTTACAGTAAGTATAATACTGAAGAAACTCTTATCCCTCAAATGCCATCCTTTTCTGGAACATCCCTTAGTGGTGCACATGTGGTCTTGATGGCCATTAACGTTATCTGTAGCTATTAATGGTCTAGTCCACCATCTTTGGACCTCTGTATGGTTTTTGTAATGCTATCCCCAAAGCTGTGGACTGACCATGAGCCATCTGTGTCATCACGCTGATGGTTTAATAATACCCTCGAAATAATCATCACTCTTCATACGGTAATTGTAATGGTACTGTATTCTGATTAGTCCCAGTGTTTCTATTGCTGACTCAGAAGGGAGTCAAAATCACAGGTTTTTTTAACTCCTGATAGGTATCTAAGAAAGGAATTTTTTTTCTTAATTATTGGCGATGTCATATTCATTTCCTTTGTGTGACTTTCTCTTTAATTTTCTCAGATGTCTATTCCTTCTGCTGTCACTTATGCTGAGTGACAACTGAATTGTGGGGTAGTTTGTGCAGTGGCTAGTGTATTTGAACTGAGTCAAAGTATCTCACATTCTCATCAAAATGAAAACATTGTCCACAAAAGGAAAGTAGGGTATTTATTCTCCAACCGTCATCTCACGTTTGATTTAAGAACCTTATAATCATGGATTTTGGTTCTAACATGTGCATTTCATTTTATTTTTTCATTTCATTATTTTTCACAGGACATGGGTCTTTTCTGCAAATACCAACACTTGAAATTTGCCCAAATTACCTAAGTGGGCACACAAGCAAACATGCACGTGCTGCATCCTTCGTGTCACAAAGGTGTGAAGACCAATTCAAGGTGAGGCTCAACACACTGACACAATGTTCCCACCAAACGGATGGGAGAGACATTTGGTTGTATGGGTTCTAAGGATAGGACACTTACTGGGCTTGATTTAATAGTGAATGATTAATAAAAAGAAAGTTTCTTTAACAGAGTTGAAGGTTGGATAAGGCTTAGGAAAGGAAGATAGTATTTCTAAAGGGGTGAACAGCAGAAGCTAAGTAGTAATGTGATCAAGTGAAGGAGTGTCAGATACTATGAAAGAATCTTACTGACTTGAACAAAGGATTCAGTTAGGAAACATTAAAACTGTTACATGTTATGTGGGCTTTAGGTATTTAAACATTGTATTGTGTGATTGCTATGCTTTTAATTACAATGTATAAAATTAGTCCACTCATTAACTTAAATATTTACAGAGCATCTGTTATTGCCTATGTACTGAGAAGAGAAAAATAAAGATACATGTCTAACAACACATCATATTGTAAAACTGAAAATTCATTTTAAATATCAAATGGGGAGATGAACAGTGTTTATTAATGCTACTACACAGTCTTCTACATAGATTCGGAAGCAAATCTTTATTAGTGATGCATTAAAATGTAGTATAGCATTGTGATATATATTTTACTTATTTTCCTTGGTGTTTAAGAACTTCATGTAATCATCATGGAATGACTATAATTTTTTTATTTGTCTTTCAAATAAAGTGAACTATCTAAAGCTACATTCAGCATTGTTTTTTTCTCTACTAACTCCCAGATATTTATATTATTTGAGAGTTTTATCTAAACAACTTTCCACCTTTGTATTCTGCAATTTTTAAAACAGAAATGAGTATCCATTAAATGATATGAGTAGCTATCATAGCGTCCTTATTATACAGTAGAATCCCAAGAACGGTATGATTCACTGACTGCTTTCCAAAATCCAGTTAGCTGGGCAAGGGGAGGAAAGGATAAAAGGCAGGAGTAATTCTTATGTCATAACTGAGGAGATGCAGCTCAGCTAGGCTAAGTAATTCCTTACATCATAGGGGTAAAAACTGGCAGAGCCAAAATTTAAACTCAGGATAGTGTCTTTTGAAAAATCGAACCTCTTTCTAATACTTCATGTTAATTGTTACTGGGTACTCAATAGTAAAACAAATGTCCTCCGTAAATTATAATAGGGCAAAATATACCTACATTATTTTCACAATATTTCAGATGATTTCAAATCACAGTATGATTTCAAAATATCAAGGATCACCTTCTAGGGATTTGATGATATGCATCAAGCATCTTTCCAAAATACATTTCTTTTGACATGGTAATTATCCTGGTAAAAATAACAATTGAATATAACCATAAATATTTAGCCACCGCCATTTCGGACTTGTCTGTATTACTCATCTCTGACACTTCTTTCACCTGTGGAACTCATCATTTACACACCCATTACGGCACATCAACACGCTTACCCTTTCCAAGTGGCTGTTTGTGTTCATATATTTAGTAATTTTTCCTTGACTTTCCTTGGGGATTTGAGTTGTCAGTAAGTACATACTGGAGCGGCTTTGCCAAGAAGAGTCATGCACTTAAAGTGAGGTTGGAAAGGTGCCTGAGGTTAAAATGCAAATCTGATGCTACTCTTCTGCCTAAAACCTGTCAGTGACTTCTAGTCAATCAAAATATGGATCAGGATCCTTGCTTATCTAGACCTACCTACCTTTCCAGTTATATGAAACTTGCTTTCTCTCACAGTTTGAGCTCCAGCTGTACTGTACTTTTAGTTTTTAAAAGGCACTAACGTTGCTTTCCAACTCAGGATATTGGTAAATACTGTCCTCTCTTGACTTAGTAAAGCTCCATAATTCTGCATCTCCTTTACCTTGCCAATGCCTATTCATTTTTAAATTCTCAACTCTAGCTAATTCCTCTAGAGGAAGTCTTTAATCAGATTAGGGTCACCAGATTTCGTAAACAAAACAGGCTGACCGGTCAACTAAGAATTTCAAACAAACAACATATATTTTTAGCACAAGAATTTCTTAAATATAGCATGACCTGTCTGTATTTTAATAGTATCTTACATTAGATCTTCTGGAAAGTTCTCTTACCACCTTCTTTCCTTTCTAAAAAGTATTATAATTTATAGTAATATAATTATTGTATCTTTCTCCCAACTATTTTGCAAGATCCATAGGGAAAGAATTATGTCTGTTTTGATCAAGAGCATATCCTTTGTCTAGCAAAATGCCAGAAGAAAGAAGGGCTCCATAAATCTTCTAATGAATGAAATAAAAATACCTATTTGAAGGTCAATTTTCAAGCAAATAGTAAAATTTTTCTGAAAGGGTGAGGTTTACATTTTAATACTTTTAATTAAATGATAATTATAACATTTATATTAAACATATATTATTTATTATCTTCCAAATGCTAATTATAGCACTAAGTACTTTGCATAGCACTAAGTACTTTGCAAATGTTATTTCTTTTAATCCTTATGACAACTCTATGATGTCAGTACATTATTGACCCTGTTTTACAGATTTGGACAGTGGGAATTAAAAAAAATATATAAAAAATTTATTTAAAAAAATCACGGACCTAGTATTTAATTGCTACCACAATTCAATATTGGGTTAGTTGATTTTTCCTGCTTCACACCTTCGTTGGAAAACATTATTTTAGAGTATACTTCCTTTGGTTATTAGAAAGAAGATTATCACCACCTGCTTAATGAGAAGAACCAGAAGTGACTATCAGGGATGTCTGCCTTTTTCTTTGTTACTTCTTTCCTTTGTTATTATGTTACTTCAAGCCACATGAAGCAACAGGCATTTCTTAAGATGAATAGTTAATAGAAGCTTTGTACTTTCCAAAACATGAAACTTGCAGTCAAGTTTATGATCTGGAAACAAAGCACCCTGTAATATGGGCAACACTATATCTTGGAATTGATATGTAATGTTATTTTCCTGAGTGTGCATATGGCATTTATTTAATGCAGTAATAAATAATAGATTCGATGCTCATCTGTCAGAGAAAGTGCCAATTTTTCTATGAGCATTCAGTGCATCCTGGTACTAAAAGTCTTTAAACATGTATTAATATTAAGACTTGGGCTCTTGCCAAATGAGAGTAATTTTAGTTTAGTTTGAATACATCTCACTCAATGGTTATTTAATTATAAAGGAGATTAAAAAACTAAAAAATCACAAATCTCTTGGTGAGTTGAGGGAACTAAGCTAGTTAAAATCATATCTCTAATAGAAAGAGTACCTCCTGAAGGGTTTCACCAGATAATCCACAGTGATTCATGCAGAATGCTCTATGTTGCTTGTATTTTCTGAATTCGGGTGCCCTGTTGTTTTCCTTCCATGTGGTAATGTGTTATGGATGCTTGTGAATGAGCACCGTGTGAGACACTGAATTAAATATGTCTAATAAACACGAATTCTGCTTTCTCAAGGCCTATAATAAAAATGACTGTCATTTATGTGCACATTCACACAAGAGTAAATCATTACAGCCAGTTATATAGATGCTTGATTCTCAGAAAAGTCAATTGCAGATAGATAAGAATTATTCCTCTTTCCTCTTCTACCATCTCTGAAGTAAGAGAGAAAACTTTCTTTGATTTTGAAATACATCTGAAAACAAAAGTATAGTTTGAATTGCTTTTAAACTTCCCCCAAGTTGATTCAAGATAAGGAAAGAAATTCTACAATTAGGGCAGAAAAACGAATGTGAGTATCTTACCCGAGGAGACAGTAGTTGTTTGGAAATAGTTGCCTAGTGCCATTTATTTTGCTGAGGGTTGCCTCCATAGCATTTGGAAGCCTGCCCCTACCAGGAGAAAAGGGGTCTTAAAGCTGCCATCAGTTGTGAATTAGGTTACAGCGCCATTAATCTTATTAAACACCGGTAAATATATTGGGTTAATATCAGAAGCTCAACACAGCAACATTCTCAGTTTGTCTGGCCAAGATTGTTAGATTTAGTACAGCCCAAAAACTACCTTCAATTTACGGAAAAAAATAGTAGTTAACAATTCAGCTTACGCTGCAAAATGTTAGCCCTGAAAAGCAAGCCAGAAGTGACATCAAATGCCCTAGCCTATAAACACTGGCAATTTCAGGTCCTTGCAGCTAAATATTTACTGCACAACTGTCAAATTACTTTTGTGTATATCTGAGTGCAGACACTCGTTCACTGTGGGATTTAATGGGTCAGTTCTGATATTGGTAATGATGTATGAATTATATATTTTAGGCATAATCTTAAGTTTTAAAGCTAGAGGACTGAATTTCTGTTTGGAAGTCCATTTGAGATTCTGCCAGGTTGAGACTTTAGATAACATTACAGGCTGGCATATTTTTGTTTATACAGCATTGCATATATTTATAAATTACAATTATTTACTCCCTCTAAAGATGCATATTAAATATTAAAAAAAAAGTATGAAAAGGTTAGAAGAGAAAAAACTTCCTGCAATAAGGCTTTTACTTTTTTCCTTGAAATTAACTTTTTTCTTTTCAGGTCAAACTTTTATTTAGGAAATCTGTCTTTGTTTACATAAGCTATGTTGCGCTGGTTTTTGGTGGAGCACATTGCTCTGCCTGTGTGCTAATACTGAGCATTTAACATTTAATTCATCTTTTCTTTCCTTCTTTGTTCATTTATTAACCCCTTAACATAAAATGTAGTAGAGTCCAGATGAATCCTTCCCTACTGGTATTCACAGGAAATATGGAAGGGCAGATAAGTAAACTACCAATTATAATTCAGTGTAGTGGGTGCCATATTAAGTTTTTATAGAGGATGCAGTGGAAGTTTATAGAAAAGAAATCTGATTCAAGGTGATAGCATCGGGAAATTTACCCAACAAGGTTATATTTAATCATGGATTAAATGAAAAATGGATTAAAAGAAAATGATATCTTGTAAGAAGGTATAACATGTTTCCAGCAAGGGAAACAGTATAGGTAAAGGCACAAAAAAGCAAATATAATGAAATGCAAA